ATTTACCGGGAAATCGACGTGGACAGGTCTGGCACCATGAACTCCTATGAGATGCGGAAAGCCTTAGAAGAAGCAGGTGAGATTTGATGATCGCACTTCCTTTTGCCTCGTTGGTAGCGTGTGTGACGCACACAACACAATACGCAGTTTGGTGAGCGGTGAGATAAAGCAGGTGCCCATTTAGTACAATCCCATCCCTTTCATCCCCCGTGAAGGCCGATGGGTAAAACCAAACGAGGCCCAGATGCTCTGCCCACGAGGCCGCCTTGCATCTAAGTCTTCTCAGAAGCCTGGTGGGTCCAGCCGGCAAGGCCAGCTCTCGGCCGCGCCCCCAGCTCCCCCTTTGGGGTACAGGGCTGGTTAGGCACACGTGGGGTGTCTCCGCGCCTCTTAGGGGAAGTCCCTGGCAGAATGGGACACGGATAAAAGGGACACAAGCCTGTGGGAGACGGGTGTTTGGGGGGACAGGTAGGAAGGACCATGTGAGATGGTTCACTGTATTAGCAAAGACCCCAAATCGCTGGCTTAAACGAGATGCATCATTTTCTCACTTAACCACCCCCCAAGCTGAAGAAGTTCAAGGCTGGGAGGGTGCCCCCGGCTGTTAGGGACCCGGCTGCTCTGTCACCAGCCCTTAGCATGTGGCCGTGGGCCCCGGGTGGCCTGCCGTCACACCCCCATCCTGGCAACGGGCTGACTGACGGAGGGAGACACACAGGTCACTGCACACACGTCCCACGGCCGGAACGTGGTCACCAGGCCCCAGAGGGCTGCAAGGGATGCTGGGAAGTGTGACCTTGATCCCAGGCAGCCAGGACCCCTGAACAAATCTATTCCTGGAGGGAAATCATATTCGTTTACCAGGAGCAGCTTCTGCCACATGCATCCAGGCAGAACCTAGTCGCCGAGATGACGCAGCGCTGAACAAACAGGAGAGGCAGTGGCTCACCCCCTGGAACAGTGTGAGCGTGGAAGTGGGAACAGACAGGACAAGTCCTCCCTGTTGGACAGTGAGGAGCCAGGCAGGGTGCAGGGGGACAGTCTGGAAATGACGGTCAAAGGCCCTGGCTCTGCAAGACCAATCCGGCCTCCTCGGCGAGCGGCCAGGGGACAGACGCGATCGTAGTTGCCATTTAAAGGGCCACGTCCATTCCGCAACCTGTGTTCAGAGCTCGGGGTGCGGTCCTGTCCTCTCCCCTCAGGTTTCAAGCTGCCCTGCCAGCTCCACCAGGTCATCGTGGCTCGCTTCGCCGACGACGACCTCATCATCGACTTCGATAACTTTGTCCGCTGCTTGATTCGCCTGGAGACGCTGTTCAGTAAGTGGCCGCTGGGGGAAGACGCGTGTCAGTCCCCGCGAGCGCGAGAGCAGCCGCCTTCCACGTGGGTGGGCTCGCCGGGCCCAGAGGCCTGTCTGTCCAGTTGAGGGTGGAAATCCTTGTCTCGTTGGGGGAGGGAGGGAAGAAATGACGGCTTGGGAGATCAGCGACGCGGCTGCCAGAGGAGAAGGAGATGACGTGCCCGTCGCTGCCGCCCGCTCACGGGTGACACCCTGTTTTTCTCCCTCCCCAGGGATATTTAAGCAGCTGGACCCCGAGAACACGGGAACCATACAGCTCGACCTGATCTCTGTACGTACACCCCTCGCTCGGACGTGGACGGGAGGGGAGGGCTGTCGCCTGGGGGACAGGGACCTATGGCTGGTTGACATGCTGTCTGAAAGCTCTCTGTCTGCTGGGGACAGGCCTGTGAATGGGTCTAGGACCCCACAAGGCACTGTGTTTGCAGCCTTTCCCCAGCTTCCGATCTGTTCTAGAGCGCCAGGAGGCGCGCCTGGTCCCTGCTCCCAGGAGCTTCGCCCTGAGGCCAGCACTGGGTGGGGATGAGAAGAGGGGCAGCAGGTCCCGCTTAGAAACTCGCCCTGCTAACCAGCAAGCCTGGGCCAGGGTGCTTCTAGAAGGAAACCCTGTAGATGAAATCCAAGTGCATTCTTAGAACAGATGGGCTTAAAATGGCTGCTGAGAAAAATCACTTTCCTCTCCGTCTTCCCCCTTTAAAATAAAATAAACAGCCCAGCCGGCGTGGCTCAGTGGTTGAACGTCAACCTATGAACCAGGAGGTCAGGGTTCAATTCCCGGTCAGGGCACATGCCCAGGTTGCAGGCTCCATCCCCAGTTGGGGGCGTGCAGGAGGCAGCCGATCCATGATTCTCTTTCATCATTGATGCTTCTATCTCTCTCTCCCTCTCCCGGCCTCTCTGAAATCAATAAAAATATTTATTTTTAAAAAAAATAAAATAAAACCCTTCAGTCTGCAGGCCGACGCTCTATCCACTGAGCCAAACCGGTTAGAGCTAAAAATATTTATTTATTTTTTAAATAAAATGAGCAATAGTAACTAAGCTTCCCTTAAGTAAGTACTGTGCTCCCATGTCTGGAACCCCAGCCAGGCCCACTTCTGAAATGCTCATCAACCCAAATTAAACTGGAATGCCAATGCCACACAATGCACAGTGTCCTCCCGCCATCCCGAAGACAGCAGCCTCTCCCCCCTCCGGGAAAGAAGCCAGCTCGGGCACGCTTTCGTTACCGTCGGCTTCAGCCTGCACGCCCATGTGCGGGGAACCTAGTGGCAAGGGCTGGGTCGGGGGGCAGTGCTGGGGGTGGGGGAACAGGGGGGGATCAAGTCCCCGTGGACCAGAGAGGAGCTAAGTCCTAAGAAGGCAACTCTTTCCCTTGAGTTTTGAAACCTAGAGAGCGCCAGCTATTTCTAGAGAAAGCGCTATTTGACTGCATGATGCATCCGCAGTACCTTTAGCCGACCGAAAGGATGCCTAGCTGGTTACAAGTCACACGGACTTGCTTAGAACGCGGTAGCCCGGGAGACAGCCCTACCCCGATATGGCGATCTCACGTGGAGGCCACGCAACTGACACAACGTGCCATCTGCTAAGCCCGGACACTCGAGCCCCTGTACCGTTGTTGCTGGGAGCCCTGCTCCTCCCCAGCTCCCACCCACGCCGGCCGGCTGCCATCTCGGCCCACCCTCCCCACTTCCCAGGGAAACATCTGTTCCGGCTCCCCTCCTGCCCTCAGCCGCCCCTTCCACAGGCGCCTAGAGCTGCCCACACCCTAGTCTTTGCTGAGGATGAGAAACATCAAGAAAATCCCCTCGGTTTGCAGCCTGCCCAGCCCTGGCTGCAGGTGGCATCCCCTGCCGACTCTGCCGAGTCCTGCTCTCCAGGCCCATCCAGCCGGTTCGGTCCGGATCCCTATTCGAGCTCCCAGAGGCTCCAATAAGAACCAAGGTTGAAAACCACTCGTTTAAGGGAGAGCCACACCCGACGACCTGCTGATGGGGCGAAACAGCGTGAAAGCCCCGGGTGGTCGCTCCGGGGTGAGAGCGTTGGCCTGGGCACCGAAGGTCTTGGGTTCGATTCCCGGGCAAGGGCACGTACCTGGGTTGCAGGCTCGACGCCCTGGCCCAGTCAGGACAGGTGCAGGTGGCAACCAATCGAAGCGTCTCTCCCACATCGATCTCTCTCCCCAGCCTCCCTCCCTCCCTTCCAGTCTCTCTAAAAATCAATAGAAAAAATACCCTCAGGTGAGGATTAACAACAACAAAAAAAAGCCCAGATTGAAAATGATAATCCAGATGCTGTCTGAGTCGCACATTACATGTGTCTCATTCAACCTTGAATATAATTCATGACCATCTGCTTCAAGTATCCGCTTTTTGCTAACCTGTGAAAAACTAGATTCTAGAAATCAGGTAGAAAAAAAATGTGAGTTGGCACACTGATATCTTAACCCTCGCTCAGCTTTTCTGGTACCAAGTCAGTCCTTCAGAATCATCTACAGGTAAGTTGCCTTTCATTTTAAAAATAGTCATTGAACTGATTTTTTTTTCCTTCCTCCCAGTGGCTCTGTTTCTCAGTACTTTGAAGTTATACACAAATTTGCCTGAAGACTCCTCGTGAAAGGAAATCAGCCACGGACTAAGCTTTCACAGAGAAACTTTTATCCGGACCTCGATTATGGGAACATTTACTTAAACTGATGATTATAGCCGAACATAACGATACCATTTGAGATAGGAAAAGATTTGCATATCATTAGACTAAATGCAAGCGAGTCGCTTAACCCTCGACCGGCTCAAAGAAAGCTTTAAATCTGTACATAGGATACACTTTTTACTTTTACACACGGTCCCTTTAGAGCAATATTAAATCAGGTAAAAAATAAAAATAAAAATGCAGGTGTTTAACAGCTGAGCAAACATTCAGTCCATCTCAGAGGATACAAGATCCTGCTGGGAATACTGAAAGCAACTTCCAGTTCAAAAATGCAGCTTCGACATTTACCAAAGAGCAGCTCAGGGCTCACCCGATCCCTTAAGTAAAATCGGAAATACTAGTACGAGGGTCAACAGGGAATCCTGTCAAGGCCCCTGGAGCCGGTGAGAACGCCCACCGCCGTCTCCGGTTAAACAGGAGGCGGTTTACAGGACACCGATTGGCAAACAGTAAGTCTGAGATTCGAGTTCGTGTGTATCCTACACTGAGTGTTAAAAATACTGAAGGGAGGCCACCCGTGGCCGCGGACACAACACGGGACCCAGGCGTCCAGCGTGCACACCTGTTGTGATGAAGACAAAACAAGCTGTTTGCTGCCTGCTCAAGCTCCTGCACTCAGCCACCTCCAGCGCCGCACACGGACTGGGGGGTTCGCACAGGGAGTAGGGGGTCGGGGCGAGGGAGCCCCGGGAGAGAGAACACAGCTCGTTCCTCGGCTTCCCTGGGGGCTGCGCTAACACTATGGGAATGCTGCCTTGTTGCCTTACCTGCCGAATGTGCTGTTAAATAAAGAGTCGCCTGGCACCGCAGTGCATGCTGTGCTTCCTGGAGGCGTGGCGGGGCAGCCTGCTTCCCCTCTGACCCGGGTGACCCCGACTCCCAGGTGGGGCTGTGCAGGACACGGAAACCAAACCAGAAGGCAGCGCAAAGTCCCACATTTACTTTTATTACAACTGTTTTCAAAGTCAGCTAAGATCTTGCCAAGTATTATGGGTAAGTCTGTAACAAGTCACTTCCAAGATACAAAAGGCAATAAATATAGATTCAAATGTGGCCTAAAAACAAGATTCCAAACCTAATTATCTGTAGTGTAGCTTGGTTTCAGTATTTCAAATATATGCATAATTCTTAAAATGCTACAAGCACGTGTAACAAAGTCACTGCTCACTGGCTACCAATCGCTCTTCACTGACAGTGCACGGGCGTGCGCACCTTCGAGCCTTCATGGGGCCCCCGAGGGCAGCTGGTGCTGGGGCCATCAGAGGTGGCCCAGGGTGGCCCGTGATGGCACTGGTCCTTCCCGTGGGGGGACAGGCACAGGGGCAGGTGCTGGCAAACTCCAAGGGTCTCCCAGGAGCCCGACAAGGGGCCCTGCTTCTTGCGGAAAGAGGCTGTCGCTGTGTCTGAGTGCTCCCTGGCACGCCTGTCCCCGCGCAGTGAGGCCACTTCCGCCTAAGCTCCACTTCCTGGTGCCGCCGTCCTGCACCAACAGGGAGTTCTTCCATCCTTCATTTCTTCCAGAGCATTCTCACGGCTCTCACGTTACGGCGTCATTGAAATAAGTCTTGTGAGATTGTGCCCAAAACAATCCTATGACTTCTTAGTGGTAACAGATTAATTCTTCATTAACTACCTTCAATCAGGTTTCAGGCCAAGCTCCTCTGTCTTGGTTTAATTCTTGGGTACAGCTGTAAGAGAGTTTACAAAACGTTTACATACATACGAACATGGGGGAGAACAGCTCAGGAAATGGGGTGGGGATTGGCGGGACAGGGAAGAAAATTAAAGAAAAGGATTCCTTCTGCCTTGTGAAGCCCCCAGAGTTGCGCGAAGACGCAAAGATTCACCTGTAGCAACTCTCGCATCAGGGACACTCAGAAGCCACAGGGCCCCTTAGCAGGCACAACGCCACGGCAGGGACATGAAACCCATGATGCTCTCAGCATGAGCTCCATCGCACAGCCTGGCGCCTGTGAACAGTCTGACGAGGATGCGCCGGCTGCAGTGACCTGCAACATGCTACGTGTCCCGCACCTGAAGCTCCCATTTCAAGGGAAACATAAGAGATTCACGTCTCTTTCAACTTGATTCACGACGGACACAGCTCTGTGTCACGGGACTCCGGGCTGTCAGGAGCGAAATGCCCAGACTACAAGTCTACAGATCGAGGAGGGATAGTGGAGTGTTTTGTTTTAGGGTTTTGTGGGTGTGTGTTTTCCATAACAAGAGCTGGAGAGCAGCGTGTATGTGAAGGTCACAAGATCCCCCGTCGGGAAGCCAAGAGCAAGTCAAGCTAGTAATTCAACTGGCGGCCGAACAAAAGCCCCCCTCCTCCCCCCCCTCTAAAAGGGGAAAAGGTTTTACTGAAAGAAAGGAGTCAGACTTCCAGCCAAAACTGAAAAACTAACTGCAGGATCCACGTTATATAAAGGGTTATTTTTCTCTCCGAGAAAAGATGTTTAGCCAACACAATTTTCTAAACTCGTAGCTGAGTCTCTGGCTAAAAATTCAACATGTATGCGGTTTTCTTTTTAAATTTCCAAGAAACAAACGAAGAATGTGGTGCGGAGGCCACTTCGGTCCAGAGGAGATTTCCACAGGACCGAGACTGTTCCCCGCTGGGCCGAAAGGAGCTCCAGTGCAGCCCGTGATTCCAGAAGCTCCGAGCCACACGCAGGCAGCCCCGCGTCTGGGCCACCGCTTCCCGCTGGGAATCACACCCCGCCCCCCCATCGAGCCGCCGCCACAGCACCTCTTTGTCAGGGACTAAAACAAGACCCAAATAAGCAGCCAGCTCTCGGGGGCCGAGCTTCTCTCGGGTAAAACACGGGAGAAGTGGGTGTTGACTGGCTGGGGTCTGGCCGAGGGGCAGTGGCGCTCAGACACGCATTTCTCTGCTGCTAAGGACTGAGCAGAGCGAGCGGGCTCGGAGGAGAGCCACCTCCGTGTTGCTACTTCACCTGGGAACTCAAAGCCTTTGTAAAGAGCCCCATGCCTGTTTCTTTTCACTCCACGATCCTCTGTCATTTACGTTACATGAAGGAGCGCTGGCTGTTGAATAATAAATCTTGCATCACAGGCAGCGTGGGGACGGGTGAAATAATTCAGGCTGCACAGCAGACAAACAACAATGGAGAAGGGAGAGCCGGGAGGACAGGCTGGTCACCAGCTGGCCGGCCAGGCCCCGGCCCGAGTCACTTTAACCAGCTCGGCCGCAGGGCGCCAGACAGAGGCTGGGTCAGGGCCTCGCTGCCAGTCAAAGTTCTAAGTGGGCACAGGCCATGTCTGCCCCACAGCTGATGGCAATACCAACAGATCCACCTCCCAGCCACTGTCAGCACCTACTCTACCCTCAGCCTCCCCACCCGCCTCCCGCGGCCCCGGCCACCCAGGTCCCAGGGCTCGGGGCACCTGCCCGGAGTGGGAGCCAAGGCTACTGACCTGCGTGCTGCTCCTTGTAGGTGACATCGCCCTTCCCGCCCTCAGACTCGCCTACTTCCTCACCAACAGGCTCTGCAAGCACTTGTACCTTTAAGCTGTGACTCAGTCTCTCAATTAACTCACATTTCTCTGCCTGGTTCCCAAGTCCCAGGCCCCAGGTCCCAGGCCCCAGGCGCACACACACTGTACAGAACACAGAGCCTGTGAAGGAGGCTCCTGCCAAGTCCACCAGGAGTTCCTCCCCCTCTTCCCTGTCCGCCCCAGCCTCCTCCCCGAAGGCCCTGCTGGGTCTTTACTGAGGGCGGCCCCCCTTCGTGTGCTCTTGGTTCATATGATCTTACTATTTTCTGGTTTTTATGAAACTTAAAATCAAGCAGCAGAGAAAGAACCAACAATCCTGTTCGCTAGCAGGGCTGCAAATCCCGATTTAAACACTTTCATTTCCAGTGTCGTGAGCTCGCTGCCCATCAGTGAGCCTTTACTCCACCTGCACATGCGACAGGCCCTGACCTCCAGGCCCGGCAAACGTGGAAACGTGCAACTGGCCATCAACAGGAACCACTGGAGATGCGGCTTTCCGTCCAAACCTGTGACCATCAGCGTTTCACATTCCATGTCCCGTGAGCACAGGGCAGCCGGCTGCACTGCGCCCGTAAAACCCGGGGTTTTCACCAAGCCCCCCTCAAAGCCTCGGCCGGGCTGGGGAACTCACCCCCAGCAGGTTGCGCGGGACGTAGCCCTCCTTGTCGCTCAGGCGCGCCCACCACCACTCCACCTCGTCCTCGTCCTCCCGCCGGAGGACGGTCATGCAGTCTCCCTCCTTCATGGGCAGCTCGTCCTCGTTCTGAGGCTCGTAATCCCAGAGCGCGTAGATGACGCCTTTGTTCATGATGCCCATCTTCTCCTGGACGCCTGCAGCGGCGGGAGACACGGCACAGGAAGTGAACGTGGAGCGGGCCCCTCGCACTTCTCCCTTGAACACCCGCATGCAGAGTCCCGGGCAGGGAGGGCGGCCGCAGAGCAGAGGAGACAGACAGACGAGGTCCCTGCGCTGCCAGCTCTAAGCTCGCACACTGACCACCCCTGAGCACCTCTCCATGCTCCCCACACACAGCCTTCTGCAAGCCCAGGGGTCAGAAAAGAACCGCCACAGGCGAGGACAGGAGCGCGAGCGGCAAGCCGTCCCCTCCCAGCCGACCCTTAAGCATCAGGGCAAGGAACTCGGGACACTGCCTCCTCCGCTCCCTAAACCCCGAGAGGACAGAGGGAAAAGCAGAGCATGTATCTGTTAAAGGGGTCTCTACCCATTCCCAAGTGGGGAAGGATAAAGGAACCATATATAACATATGCTGGGATGCAGAATGTGGCGAAAAGCCTGCATGCAGTCAACTCTAAAATAATGAGACTCTGAATTCTAAGACAGTGAAATCCACAAATTGGGGAGCGGAAAATCCCGCAGCGCCCACTCTGTAGCAGAGCTCCTCCCCCTCGGGGTGCTGCTTGTGAGGGGTATCTGGAGGGATTAGGCTAGAAGGTCCCGAGCCATGCAGCGTTCACCACTGTTTCCGCCTTGTTCTTAGGAAAATATCTGTTTGCTTTTGAAAAGTCAGGTTTTTTTCAACTTCAGTGAACACGACACTACTCATTAGGAACTGACTCTTCGGATGCAGCACGAGAAAGAGAGAGAGAGAAACACCGATCCCACACATGCCCGACCAGGGACTGAGCCCACAACCTTTGGGTGTATGGGATGACGCTCCAACCGAGTCACCTGGCCAGAGCGATTTAATTATTTTTAAAAAGGGTTGCAGGTTCGATCCCCTGTCGGGGGCTTGCAGAAGGCAGCTGATCAATGTCCCACTCCCACATTGATGTAACTCTCTCTCTACCTCTCTCTATAAAAATCTTAAAAAAAAAAAAACGAACAGAGAAGACATCCTATGTCTTTAACCTCAGGGGTCTTACAATCTGAATGCCATGGACTCCTCGCACCTCCTCATCCCTCTTTCCCCTTCTCACTTCCTCTAAAGCGAAACTGAGAAGGAAAATGAAGCTCAACTTCTAAGACTTGGAAATGATAAAATTTCCCTTGTAAATAAAGAGCAACCAACCTCTATCTGCTCGATCTCTCAGTCCTTTTTGCTCCAGCTACACGGCTGGTGATACAACCAGAACCATAAACTCAAACATCAAGGAAACGAAAGAGCAAAGAGTTAGCTCTAAAACACTGATGTTTGGGACAAGTCTGCTTAGCGGGAGAGCTTGGGTCAGTGGGTTCGCACACCGATTGCATTCCCTTATCAGCGTGGAAGGAGGGGTTCCGTGTACTTACTTGCAAGGACACACCGTCACTCACTAAGGAGCCAAGGCTCATAGAAGACCCTGTTATATCAGAGCCCTGAGTGCCACGAGGTCAGACACGGCTCCCGGACCATGGCTGCTCCTAGGCACACGCACAAGCTGCCCTGACGTCTGTGGCCAAGGCAGCCCTGTTTCCGATGCCCAGGACTATGGACAACACGAAAATGTTTTCCAAATAATAAACATGCTGATCGAATTACACCCTAGAGAAGTGGACGGGTTCACGGCGTGCTGCACACACGTCACTCGACGCCTACGCACCGTACAGAAACTGGGAGCACTGCGTGTAGCCCTCCTCCATCTCCTCGCACTTGTCCGCGGCCGTCTGCATGTCGCTGTAGGTCATGGCAAACACGGCGGCCCCCGACTCCACCAGAAACTTACACACCTGGACGTTGTTGCAGGAAGCAGCGCAATGCAGGGGGGTCCTGTCGGGGGAGACAGCAGGGGCTGGGAACGGTTCTTAACTGAATGGCACCTGCTGCGACCTGGTATCTGGAAAGGAAGTTCTTGAGTCTCGTTTACTAAGCCCCGCCTTCCGAGAACTCCTCACAGTTTCCTTTAAATCAGTTACACGCAGACGCCGAGCCCATCAGAGAGCCACAGCCACAGAGGAACACGTCCGAGTGCTGGGCTGCACGGGCTGGAGCGGGGGGAGGGGGAGGAGACCCAGGAAAAGAGTGAAAGGACATGAAACCTGGGTAATAATCTAAACCAGGATAAGATGTATATAGTTGGATGCTCTGAAGCTCCAGCTAATTATTCTGCCGGAGCAGAGGACACGACAGTCTTCTCATTACAGACCTTTACTCAGAACATGTGCCTCGCTGTTAATGCCATCACCGACTTTCTCGCCAGCATGGCCAATGCTTTATCATGGACCACCAGCGACCCCAGGTTGACAGGGAGGCAGTGCTGCTGCCCAGGCTCAGAAGAAGGGCTTGAGAAATTTTTTAAAAAAAAATATATATATTTGATTTCTGAGAGGAAGGGAGAGAGATAGAGGGATAGAAACATCAATGACGAGAGAGAATCATTGATTGGCTGCCTCCTGCACGCCCCCCCACTGGGGGAGTTGGGGGGGATCGAGCCCACAACCCGGGCATGTGCCCTTGGCTGGAATTGAACCTGGGACCCTGTAGTCCACAGGCCGACGCTATCCACTGAGCCAAACCGGCTAGGGCTAGGGGTTGAGAATTTTAAGGAGGCCCTAAAGTACATAGGATTCTGTTTCTTTACCCTTTTTCTCCCTCCCCTCTTCATTTCGTTCCTCTTGGGTGCACAGGTTTAAAAAAGTGTACCCCCACCCCCGATCCAGACGCCATCACTAACAGTGTGGTGACTATAACGACAGGATTTTTCAACCCCATGTTTTGTAATAGCAGGAAATTATATATAAGCTGAGTTCCCAACATGAAGGGAACAGGACGTTATTACACATTAAGGATTTGTTTCACAGTTAGACTTTTAAAAATGGACTAAGATATGCGGAGTTGCAAGGAAATCTCACCACCCGTCGCTGTCAGCAGCATTTACGTTCACACCAAACTGCACCAGGAACTTGACAATCTCCGTGTGGCCGGCGCACACGGCGTTGTGGAGCGCCGTGATGCCCTCGTCGTTGGGCAGGCTCGGGTCCTCCACCTGGAACAGCAAGGACAGGATGGGCGCTACTCAAGTGTCTGCACACCTGAACCGCCACGACGTCCTGGCTCTGCAGGATCCTGAGGACAGGAATAGACTCGGGGCCTTTTAAAAAAATCGTAATTAAAACCTCCGAGAGCCAAGAAAATGACGCCTAGGACAATTCTAGAAATGAGACAGACAAAACAGCCACATTAAGTAGGCACTCACTAAGAAAAGCTTTTTTTTCTTCCCAAAAATTGAAGTAGAACCAGAAACTGTATCCGTAGAGTCATTTTTGTTTATTTACCCTCCAACTTCCCACCACAAATTAGTGTCTAACTACAAGTGACATTTTCCATGGAAAGAAAAAAAGGTCAACTAAAAATATTTTAAATTGTAGGCTTCTGAACAGTAGGGACCACGTCTGTAATTTAACAGTCTAGTATAAACCCACACAGGAGCAATTGTTAAAGGAGGGCAAGGACCCCCTGAGAAAGCACAGGACTCGAGGGGCCCAGTGGGGCCTGGTGGAGACTACACTTCTGCATCATCGAACACCTGACAGTCGCACCTTTAGAACAGCAATGCCTGCTTGGGAGCAAGTTCAAGAGTTCCTCTCAACAACCCCACTTCCCCCAAAAGAAAATTTAAAAATACAACTTCTCTATTGCAGCTTCCTGATCTGAGCTTTAAAGCAAACTATAATGCAAGGACGTGTTTAAGAAACTGACCAATCATACCTCATAGATAATCCTCTGTACAAGGTCAAATTCTCCCTCCAGAGATGAATCTAGAAGCAAAGCCAGGGGGTTGAACTTCACCCTCATTCCGTGGGCAATTCGCTCGGAACCAGTCTTACGTAAGTTGGTCCTTTTGCCCTGCAGAAGAAAAGCGTGGAAAATGAAGGATCCTGCTCTAAGCAAGAGACCGACAAAAATGGGGAGGAATAACATCTCAGCTGAGTTGGTAAAAGACACAAAAAATATATTCAGCACTTTTTATGAAAGTACCACATTATTCAGAAGAGTATATAAACCACAACAGCTTAACCAATGTGCCCAAAGAACGTGACTTTCTGGAACCGAGTGAGATACATTTGGTCGTCCCTCCAGCAGGAACTGAGCTAAGAGGACCATCTCCACTGACAGGTAGGCTGGTTTTCTGTCAAGTTCAAAACTAACCAAGATTGGCTGTTAAATTACCTTCCTAACATGGTATAGCAAACCTCACGGTTCAACCAGGCAAGAGCTAACCCTCACCCTCACCCTCTCCCTTCCTCTCTCTCCAAAAATCAATAAAAATATATTTTTTTAAAAACACACAACCCTGTTAGTCCTTCCCATTTATAATGTCGACTCTGTGCCAAAGGAATTATAGAATAAAAAGGCAAACTGCGGGGCACATGCGCTGCAGCGGGCAGTTTACACACCGGCCTTTGCAAATGGCTGCACGCACTTGCTGCTGCTTCGCTGAGTTTCACAATCAGCCCCTAGAAGAGCGACAAGGCTCCTGAAGCATCACGAGCACCGCGTGACTTACCGGAGGCAGCGACACCTGCCCGGTGATCTCAGGCGGACGCAGGCTCCCGGAGTCTTCCCCCAGCCCCTCTGGCTCCCCTGAGGGGTACGGTGGCGGAGGGTAGGGGGGATACTCCTCCAGGTACACCTCCAGCAGGTGGGGAGCCTCTGGATTCGGTTCTTCCACGTTATTCTGGAAACTCGGGCTGGTGTCTGGGGTGCCTTCGGACACATAATCCAGGCCCAGGGGAGGAGCTGGCACGTCACTGCTCGCTGTGCTGGTGTGGGCGGCCGCCTCTGGGGACACGGGCTCAGGGGCCAGAGAGGCCACCTCCTTCTCCGGCTCCGCGTGTGCGTACGGGTTCTGGATTTCCACGGGGCTCTCGGGGCCGGCAGTCACTGCGCTCGCCGTGGCCGGGTAGGAGGGCACCGAGATGGTCTCCATGGCAGCGATGGTGGTCCGCTGGTACAGGAGCTTCTGAATGTTCGGCCCGTTGGGACCCTCTGGCTCTGTGATGGAGCTGCGCTTCTTCAGGGGCCGGGGGGCGTTGGACAGCTTCTTGCGCAGAGCTTCAAGGTCAACGTCGCTCTGGTTTCGGTAGGGGTGTGACAGGAAAGGCAGTAACTTGGTGGGGCTGAGGGGCCGAGGAATCCTCTCGTTCTCGTGGCTCTCCGGAACGGAGGAGGCCGGCTCCATGTCGGACTCGGGGCCGCCGGGTTTGCCCTGGTTCCCGGAGTACATGCTGTCCAGGGGCTGTGGGTTCTGGGCAGCGATCACAGGCTTGCCATAGACTAATTGCAAAAGGAAAAAAGCTCCAATTAACGTCAGCTAAGCAACACTGGCAAGTCACAGCCACGGCTAACCATAACGAAGGCCTCTCTTAATCTCATGAAAGCGCCTCCACAGGCAGCTGCCCGATCGTCCAGGCACCAAGAAGACATCGGCCACCTATGTGAACAGAGCCTCGTGCAGCACACACCGCAGGCATCTGTCCCGCGTCCCCACTGAGCCCTGTGTCCTCAGCTCTGAAGGAGCCCGCGGGGAGTGGGAGCAGATGCCCTCGGGCAACCACCACCAGCAGGCTCTCTCGGTTTTATTCCTCTATTTTATTCCATGTTTCGTAGTATTCACTACTATCACTGCAGTGGCCGATGTTTAGCAGAAACTCACATTTTAAACTGCCAAACCGACCAAAAGCCAGCCCTGACCGGTTTGGCTCAGTGGATAGAGCGTTGGCCTGCGGAATGAAAGGTCCCAGGTTTGATTCTGGTCAAGGGCATGTACCTTGGTTGCGGGCACATCCCTAATAGGGGGTGTACAGGAGGCAGCTGATTGATGTTTCTC